ACCTCTTACTTTTACTAGTACATCTCGATATATTGTAAGTTCCCCAATAAGAAGAATGATTATGAAACATATTTCCATCGAAACTGCCGTCGGGTATACAAGGAAAAGAAAATATAATATTGCTCCTATTTTTCCAAATAATATCTATACTAAATTCCTTAATATTATATTAGGGTTTTCACATAATTTAAATAAGGAAAGATTTAATAATCAAAATTTTAATTAATTTTAACGTCTTAAATATTAGGAAAATAACTAAACTACAATTTTTTCTAATGTATGGTTTATTTTAAAAGGGTAAAAAAGACGAACGATATTTCGTTAATGGGTAGTTCCCCAATAAGAAGAATGAATATGAAACATATTTCCATTGAAATTTCCGTCGGATATACAAGGAAAAGAAAACGTAATATTACTCCTATTTTTCCAGATAATATCTACATTAAAGTCCTTAATATTAGGACTTTTCAAATAATTTAAATAAGGAAATATTTAATAGTCAAAATTTTAATTGATTTTAACGTCTTAAATATTAGGATAATAACTAAATTATAATTTTGTCTAATGTAAAGTTTATTTTAAAAAGGGTAATAAAGACGAACGATATTTCGTTAATGGATTTCGTACTTTTAATGTAGTATATAGATAGATTAGATTATCTAAAAGATAACTTCAGATAATTTTTCATAGTAAGTTGAATTAATTACTAAAAAAATAATATCGGTAACATAGTTAGTTATATTGATAGTGTTATAAAGACAAGATAAGATTTTTGCATGAGAGTACTATTCGATGGATTGATCAAGTTCATCCTCGAGGCATGTTTTGATTCACCAAGTAGTCATATCCTTTGTTTCGGCACCCAACACTCCTATAGGAAGTTGGCTTTGCTGAATTTTTTGTCTAATGTTTATGCTCCAGCATTGTTCTTAGTTGGTTTAGATTAACGTAACGATTCGATCGGTCGTTTTGAGAAGTAGAGCTCTGATCCCCTATTAATTGCTTCCCTTTACTTATTTCTGCTATTATGACATGCCGGGAAGATTCGTTTTGGTCTTTGAAGTATTTTGGGACACTTGGTCCCTAAATGGAGGTTTAAGCTTTAGGATTTGTACCGTTAGTCGGAACAGTGTGAAGACGACTCCGGAATGGAGTTCCGTCGATTCCGTTAGCTCTGTTGGGTAGTTTTGGGATTAGGAGCGTGTCCGGATTGTGTTTTGGAGGTCTGTAGCTCATTTAGGCTTGAAATGGCGAAAGTCGAATTTTTGGAGTTTTGGACCGGTAGTGGAATTTTTGATATCATGGTCGGATTTCGATTCCGGAAGTTGGAGTAGGTCCGTAGTGTTGAATAGGACTTGTGTACAAAATTTAGGGTCAATCGGACGTGGTTTGGTTTGTTTCGGCATCGGTTGTCGAATTTGGAAGTTTCAAGTTCATTAAGTTTGAATCGGAGGATGATTTGTGTTTTTAGCGTTGTTTGATGTGGTTTGAGGGCTCAACTAAGTTTGTATGGTATTTTAGGATTGGTAGGTATGTTTGGTTGAGGTCCCAGGGGCCTCGGGTGAGTTTCGGATGCTTAACGGACTAGTTTTGGACTTGGAAGAATTGCAGAATTTCCAGTGTTTCAGTTTTGGTTTTCTCTTCTGCGATCGCATAGGGGAAGACGCAATCGCGAAGCTTTGAATTGGGCAGTCCCCTTTTTGTTCTATGCGATTGTAAGAGCTCCTTTGCGATCGCGATGTTTGCATAACCATTTATTCGCGAACGCATAGCCCTTCCGCGTTCGCAGTGCAGAAGAAAGGAGGCTGGGCAGTGGGAGGATTTGCTCTACGCGGTCGCGTGGAGTGCTTCGCGATCGCGTAGGTCAGCTGGGCAGTGGTACGCGTTAGCGAGCATGTATCCGCGTTCGCGTAGTATGTTTTTAAAAGGCGGGAATTTTGTTCTACGTGATCGCATGAGATGTTCCGCGATCGCATAGTGTGAGCACCTGGGGCAGAATATAAATATTTGAAAATCGAGGGTTAGCCATTTTTATCAAAACATGAGTTTGGGAGCTCGGATTGGGTAACGAGTCTTAACTTGATTTTTGTTATATCCCACTAATCTATCATTGATTTTATCATTTAGTTTTGGATTTGGGGTGAAAATTTGGAGAAATTTGAGAAAAGTTCTTAGGCCAAAATTTGGGATTTTGATCGAGATTTTGGTATCGGATTTGAGTAAATTTTGTATGGTTAGACTCGTGAGTGAATGGGTGTTCGTATTTTGTGACCTCTACCCGATTCCGAGATATGGGCCCAGGGAGAATTTTTGGGCGTTTTTTTATTTTCTTGCCTTAGCTTTGATTGCATTAGCTAGATTAATTGCTTGTAGCTATATTTACGTTATGTAATTGATTTGGCTAGATTTGGGCCATCCGGAGCCGGATATTTGTGGAAAGAGCATTGTTTCGGATTGATTGAGCTTGATTCGAGGTAAGTGGCTTGCCTAACCTTGTGTGGGGGAACTGCCCTTAGGATATGGTACTGTTTGATATATGAGCGTCGTGTACGTGATGTGACAAGTACGTACACAGTCTATTTGTTGTAAAACTCCATTTTTCACTAAGTCATAAGTTGTTTCTCCTTGTTTGAACTGTACTAGCATATGTAACTACCTTGTTTAGATTAGAAAAGCATGCCTACGTGTTTTAACTGCCTATTTGAACTCTGTGCACCATGTTTAGTGAAATTTCCTGTTGCTCTTTGATGTGAACTTAGTCTAAACTGTAGGTTTCCTTGCTGTAACTGTTGTTTATATTGGTTGTACTGCATATTTACTTTGGGACTACGGAACGGTATTCCGGGCAATCCCCCAGCACTGCATCTATATTTTGGGACTACGGAACGGTATTCTGGGAGATCTGTCTGCACATCTACGTTTGGGACTACGGAGTGGTATTTCGGGAGATCCCCTTGCACATTTACGTTTGGTCCTACGGGAAGGTATCCCAGGAGATCCCCTGTTGCTATTACTGTATTTTGAGTTGTTGGCTTTCATTGAATTCTATTCCTGTTAGATTTTCGTATTTATTTTATTTTAATATTTCTTTCTATTTTATTTCATTATATTTATACCAGTAAGGCCCTGACCTGATCTCGTCACTACTCGACTGTGGTTAGGCTTGGCATTTATAGGGTACCGTTGTGGTGTACTCACTCCCTTTCCCGCACATATTTTTCGTGTGCAGATCCAGGTTCATCGTACCAGCCTTATCACTAGTTGCAGTCGCTGCTGCTCATTGGAGACTTCAAGGTACATCTGCTCGCGCCCACAGATCCTCAGAGTCCCCCTCTATCCCCCTATGTTCATTTCTCTTTCTTTCTGTAGAGATGATGTAAAGAATAGTTATAACTTCTTAGTAGCTTGTGACTTGCGAGTTTCTGAGATTTGGGTATTGTTCAGTTCATTTCTGAAGTGATAACTGTGTATGCTGAGTGGCATTTAGTTGCTATTTAGATAATTGTTACTGTCAGTAGTTAATGTTCATGCTTTTGTTTCATTTCCGCAATGTGTTAGGCTTACCTAGTCGTAGAGACTAGGTGCCGTCACGACAGTTCATAGAGGGAGAAATTGGGTCGTGACAAGTTGGTATCAGAGCTCTAGATTCATAAGATTCGTGAGTCACAAGCCGGTTCATCAGAGTCTTGCGGATCGGTACGGAAACGTCTGTACTTATTTTCGAGAGGCTATGGAACTGTTAGGAAAATTCCACTTCATTTGATTCCCTGTCGTGCGAGATTATTGACTTCAAAATTCAAAACTTCTGTCTACTATTCTCTCACAGATGTTGAGGATACGTGCTACCAGAGATGACCTACCCGCGCCCCTTGCTAGAGTTGCCCGATGCCAGGTCCGGGGTAGAGGCCGAGGACACACACGTGGTGCAGCCAGAGCACCTGCGCGAGCTGCTACACAGGAGCCACCAGTGGCTCCAGTCAGAGCACAGGCCCCTGATACGCCTACTACCACTACTCCAGCTCTCCAGGAGACCCTCGCAAAGTTCATGAGCATGTACAGCACTCTAGCTCAGGAAGGGTTGATTTCCCTTGCTGCAGCCACATCTCAGGCCGGGTGAGGAGCATAGACTCCTGCCGCCCGCACTCCAGAGCAGCGGATTCAGGTTGATCAGATCCCAGAGGTTATACCGGTACCACCTGCAGCCCCAGTTCAGCCCGAAGATAGGGCAGCAGCTTCAGAGGAGGAACAGTGTAGGCTCGAGAGGTATAAGAAGTATGACCCTCTTATATTCAGTGGCCAAGCGACAGACGATGCTCAGGGATTTCTAGAGGAGTGCCACCGTATCCTCCGCACTATTGGCATAGCAGAATCGAGTGGGGTTTCTGTCACTGCCTTCCAACTTCGAGGAGTAGCCTATCAGTGGTGGCGTACATATGAGTTAGACAGTCCAGCTGAGGCAGCTTCCCTTACATGGACTCAGTTCTCGAACATGTTTTTGAGAGAGTATGTCCCTCAGAGCCTCGGGGACGCATGGCGTGCAGAGTTTGAGCAGTTGCACCAGGGTACCATGATTGTTTCAGAGTATGCAGTCCGTTTTAGTGACTTGGCTAGACATGCACCGGCCTTGATTTCTACAGTTCGAGAGAGGGTTCGCCGGTTTATTGAGGGACTCATTCCCAGCATCAGGACTAGCATGGCCCGGGAGCTTGAGATGGATATCTCATATCAGCAGGTGGTGAGTATTGCTAGGAGAGTAGAGGGCATGCTTGCTCGGGTTAGGGAGGAGAGAGAGGCCAAGAGGTCTCGAGAGTTGGGCCATTATTTAAGTGCCCGTGCCCTAGTTGTAGTTTGTCATGGTAGGGGTTATGTCCCCGTTTATTCAGCTCTTCCAGCCGCTAGTGGTATTCCAGCTCCTCCTAGACCTCAGGAGCCTTATTATGCACCTCTAGTATCTAGTGTGCCTCCTGCACGGGGTGCTATCAGCGATTAGTCCAGCAGACCTGACCCGAGCCAGTCACAGCCACCACGTCCTCCCAGAGCTGTTTTGAGTGTGATAACACTCGCCATATGGTGAGGGATTGCCCCAGACTTAGGAGGGGTGCACCTCCACAGACTTCTCAGCCACAGCGTGCTCCACCAGGTCCTCAGGCTATGATTATAGCACCAGCTGCCACCCCACCTGCTCATCTAGCCTGAGGTGGAGGTCGGGGTGGTAGAGGTCGCCCTAGAGGGGGAGGCCAGGCTAGATACTATGCCCTTCGTGCTCGTACAGAGGTTGTTGCTTCCAATTCTGTCATTACAGGTGTTGTTCCGGTTTGTCATAGAGATGCATCTGTTCTATTCGATCCAGGCTCCACTTATTCTAATGTGTCATCTTATTTTGCCCCGCATTTAGGCGTATCTCGGGATTCTTTGAGTTCCTCTGTTTATGTGTCTACTCCTGTGGGAGATTCTCTTATTGTGGACCGCGTTTATCGGTCGTGTTTGATTACTCTTAGTGGTTTTGAGACCATAGCCGATTTATTATTGCTCAGCATGGTAGATTTTGATGTTATCTTGGGCGTGGACTGGTTGTCGCCCCATTATGTTTTTCTTGATTGTCATGCCAAAACTGTGACGCTGGCTATGCCAGGTTTACCGCGATTAGAGTGGAGGGGTACCTTAGATTACACTCCCAGCAGAGTTATTTCATTTCTTAAAGCTCGACGGATGTTTCAGAAGGGATGTGATGAGTATCTAGCTTATGTGAGAGATTTTAGTATTGATACCCCTACCGTTGATTCAATCCCAGTAGTAAGGGATTTTACTGATGTGTTTCCAGCGGATATTCCGGGCATGCCGCCCGATAGAGATATTAACTTCGGTATTGATTTGTTGACGGGCACTCAACCCATCTCTATTCCTTCTTATCGTATGGACCTTCCTAAGTTCAAGGAGTAGAAGGAGCAGTTACAGGAATTGCTTGATAAGGGCTTCATTCGGCCCAGTGTGTCACCTTGGGTGCTCTGTCTTGTTTATGAAGAAAAAGGATGGTTCTATGCGTATGTGCATTGATTATCGCCAGTTGAACAAGGTTACAGTGATTATCGCCTCGTATTGATGACCTATTTGATCAGTTACAGGGTGCCCGAGTGTTTTCCAAGATTGATTTGCATTCAGGCTATCATCAGTTGAAGATTTGGGAGTCAGATATCCCAAAGACTGCCTTCAAGACTCAGTATGGTCATTACGAGTTCCTTGTCATGTCGTTTGGGATGACCAATGCCCCATCAGCATTTATGCATTTGATGCATAGTGTATTTCCGCCTTATCTTGACTCGTTCGTCATTATCTTTATTGATGACATTCTGGTGTACTCCTGGATTTGGGAAGAGCATGAGCAGCACCCGAGGACTGTGCTTCAGACCTTGAGAGAGAAGAAATTATCTGCAAAGTTCTCAAAATGTGAGTTCTGGTTGGATTCCGTGGCATGTTTGGGTCACGTGGTGTCAAGTTGAGGGATCAAAGTGGATCCGTAGAAGGTGGAAACAGTGCAGAGTTGGCCCAGACCGTCCTCAGCTACGAGATCCGGAGTTTCCTAGGTTTGGCGACATATTACCATTGATTTGTTGAGGAGTTCTCGTCTATTGCATCGCCTATGACCAGGCTGACCTAGAAGGGTGCTCCGTTCAGATGGACAGAGGAGTGCGAGGAGAGCTTTCAGAAGCCTGAGACAGCTTTGACTACAGCCCCAGTGTTGATATTGCCTTTAAGTTCGGGGTCTTATACAAATTATTGTGATGTGTCACAAGTTGGCCTCGGCGCGGTGTTGATGCAGGACCATAGGGCAATTGCCTACGCTTCCAAACAGCTGAAAGTGCATGAAAAGAACTATCTTGTCCATGACCTTGAGTTAGCTGCTATTGTTCATGCCTTGATGATTTGGAGGCACTATTTTTACGGTGTCCCTTGTGAGATCTACACTGATCACTGGAGTTTGCAGCATGTGTTCAAGTAGAAGGATCTTAATTTGTATCAGAGGAGGTGGTTAAAGCTCCTTAAGGATTATGATATCACCATTTTATATCACCCGGGGAAGGCCAATGTGGTGGCCGATGCTTTGAGTCGTCGGGCAGAGAGTTTGGGGAGTTTAGCTTATCTACCAACAGCAGAGAGGCCCATGGTATTGGATGTTTAGGCCTTAGCCAATCAGTTTGTGAGATTGGATATTTCTGAGCCGAGTCGAGTATTGGCCTGTGTGGTCTCTCGGTCATCTCTTTTATGATCGTATCAGGAAGCGTCAGTATGATTGACCTCCATTTGCTTGTCCTTAGGGACACGGTCCAGCACGGCGATGCTAAGGAAGTCACTATTGGGGATGATGGTGCATTGAGGATGCAGGGCAGGCTATGTGTGCCTAATGTTGATTTTTTGTAGTTGATTCTTCAGGAGGCTCACAGCTCGCGGTACTCTATTCATCCGGGTGCCGCGAAGATGTATCAGAGCTTGAGGCAGCATTATTGGTGGCGTAGGAGGAAGAAGGACATAGTGGAGTATGTTTCTCGGTGTCTAAATTGCCATTAGGTGAAGTATGAGCATTAGCGACCGGGTGGGTTGCTTCAGAAGTTAGAGATTCCGGAGTGGAAATGGGAGCGGATCACTGTGGATTTCGTTGTTGGACTCCCACATACTCAGCAGAAGTTTGATGCAGTTTGGGTGATTGTGGATAGGCTGACCAAGTCAGCTCATTTCCTTCATGTGATGACTACCTATTTTTCCGAACAATTGGCTCGAGTTTATATCTGTGAGATTGTCAATCTTCATGGCGTGTCGGTATCTATCATCTCTAAACGGGGCATGCAATTTACATCACGATTCTAGAGACCCGTACAACATGAGTTGGGTACTCGGGTGGAGTTGAGCACAGCATTTCACCCTCAGACGGACGGACAGTCCGAGCAAACTATTCAGATTCTTGAGGATATGCTCTGTGCATGTGTGATGGAGTTTGGAGGTTATTGGGATCAGTTCTTGCCACTTGTGGAGTTTGCCTACAACAACAGTTATCAGTCCAGTATTCAGATGGCACCGTATGAGGCTCTGTATGGTAGGCGGTGTCGGTCCCCGGTGGGTTGGTTCAAGTCGGACGAGGCCAGATTATTAGGTACGGACTTGGTTTAGGATGCCTTGGAGAAGGTGAAGGTGATTCAGGATAGACTTCGCACAGCCCAATCCAGACAGAAGAGTTATGCGGACCTGATGGTTCGCGATGTGGCATTCATGCTCGTAGAGCGGGTCTTGCTTCGGGTTTCGCCGATGAAGGGCGTTATGAGGTTCGGAAAGAGGGGTAAGCTGAGCCCAAGGTTTATTGGCCCCTTTGAGGTGTTGCGGCATGTTGGGGAGGTTGCTTATGAGCTTGCCTTACCTCCTAGCCTAGCAAGAGTTCACCTGGTATTTCATGTTTCGATGCTCTGGAAGTATCACGGCGATCTATCTCATGTGTTGGATTTCAGCTCAGTCCAGTTGGACAAGGATCTATCCTATGTTGAGGAGCTAGTGGCTATCTTGCACAAGCAGGTTCGAAAGATGAGGCCAAAGAACATTGTATCAATAAAGGTTCATGGTGGGGTCAGCCGGTCGAGGAGGCGACTTGGGAGACCAAGCAGTTAATGCGCATCCGTTATCCTCATCTTTTCACCACTTCAAGTATGTCTCTATGGTCGTTCGAGGACGAACGATTGTTTTTAAAGGGGGAGGATGTAACGACTCGGCCGGTCGTTTTGAGAGTTAGAGCCCCGATCCCCTATTAACTGCTTCTCCCGTACCTATTTCTGCTATTGTGACTTGTCGAGAAGATTCATTTTGGTTTTTGAAGTGTTTTAGGACACTTAGTCCCAAAATGGAGGTTTAAGCTTTAGGATTTGGACCGTAGTTGGAACAATGTGAATACTACTCCGGAATGGAGTTCCGTCGATTCCATTAGCTCCGTTGGGTGATTTTGGGCTTAGGAGCGTGTCTAGATTGTGTTTTGGAGGTCTGTAGATCATTTAGGCTTGAAATGGCGAAAGTCAAATTTTTGGAGTTTCGGACCGGTAGTGGAATTTTTGATATCGGGGTCGGATTCTAATTCCGATTTCGGACGTTGGAGTAGATCCGTAGTGTTGAATATGACTTGTGTCCAAAATTTGGGGTCAATCGGACGTGGTTTTATTAGTTTCGGCATCGGTTGTCGAATTTGGAAGCTTCAAGTTCATTAAGTTTGAATCAGAGGATGATTTATGTTTTTAGCGTTGTTTGATGTGGTTTGAGGGCTCAATTAAGTTTGTATGTTATTTTAGGATTGGTCGGTTTGTTTGGTTGAGGTTCCGAGGGCCTCGTGTGAGTTTCGGATGCTTAACGGACTAGTTTTGGACTTGGAAGAATTGCAGAATTTCTAGTGTTTTCGGTTCTGGTTTTCTCTTATGCGATTGCGTAGGGGAAGACGCGATCGTCAAGCTTTGAATTGGGAAGTCCCCTTTTTTGATCTATGCGATCGCGACAGCTCCTCCGCGATTGCGATGTTTGCATAACCATTTATACGCGAACGCATAGACCTTCCGTGTTCGCAGTGCTGAAGAAAGGAGGCTGGGCAGTGAGAGGATTTGCTCTACGCGGTCGCGTGGAGTGTTTCGCAATCGTGTAGGTCAGCTGGGCAGTGGTACGCGTTAGCGAGCATGTATCCGCGTTCGCGTAGTATCTTTTTAAAAGGCTGGAATTTTGATCTACACGATCGCATGAGATGTTCTGTGATCGCTTAGTGTGAGCACCTGGGCAGAATATAAACATTTCAAAATCGAGGGTTAGCCATTTTAATCAAAACTTGAATTTGGGAGCTCGGATTTGGATGATATTTTGATGGATTTTCAAAGATATCGACTGGGTAACGATTCTTAACTTGATTTTGGTTACATCCCACTAATCCATCATTTAGTTTCGGATTTGGGGTGAAAATTTGGAGAAATTTGAGAAAATTCTTAGGCCGAAATTTGGGGTTTTGATCGAGATTTTGGTATCGAATTTGAGTAAATTTGGTATCGTTAGACTCGTGA